GCTTAAGGCAGTTTTAAATACGTTTAACCAACCGTCGTTTCTTACTGACCAGGAAAAATGCTGGTAAAATACAAAAGAAAATAAAAGAGGGCTCTTGTTTTCTCAGGAAAACAAACTATCGATCATTTAATTCACAAACGGTTACAATCACCTTCAGAACTGTTCCCAAATTCTGCATATAAAACCGTACCGCTGTTTTTGAAACCAGACGGCTTAATATTGCATGATGAAGTAGACATTTGACGAATATTAAAACATATCTTAAGTAAACAAAATTATTCCACTGCCTCTGTGCTCCTAAAGATCGATACTATGCATCGAACAGACACGACACAGCTATAATGCATAACAGAGCACTAGCCAATAAGTGATTCAAAATACAACGAATGTACCCGGATAGAGGCACCATGTGTTTCTTTATACCCCCGTGCTCATTTAGGAACAAGGGTCTGATGCCATACATATTCCAACTAAAACATTTTATTGCATACAAGAAGAGGAAATATTGCACAAAATACAATGTAACATAATCATGATCCAAAGTGCCTAGATAACACAACTGTAAATAAACGCACATACGGCAATTTTGCGTATGTGATATTAATTAAATTAAATATTAGGTTACCGCGGGAAATATCGGCATGTGAGAAGAAATAGTATTTCGTTCCCCATCAGCGTAGTACAGCTCATGGGTTGATTATAAATGCATCATCTGCGTTCCTATTTATTCTGTTTCAGTATAATCATTGCTATTTGTTTTGTTACCGTTACCAAATATGTGCTTAAATCAACAATTCACATGAAAACGCTTATGCATAATATGCAATATATTTCGCGCCAAAAGATCAGTTTCAATTCTGTTCGAAATTAAATTCTCTTGTGCTTCACTGTTTTTAATTGGCACTGCTTGAACAGACGCATAATTGCGAAATGAATTTTGAGGGCATTCAGATAATAACTTTCTTGCAAATATAACTTTACTCAGTAAACAGATGAAAACATTGCATCAGTGTTCACGGTAATCACGATTTTTATTTCAACTTCTTCTTTGGTCTCAAATTGCTGCTATGTCCACATTTCTTTTTTCGACAATTGGTAGCTCGAGGTGGCAACCGAGCGTAGCACCTAAAGATTAAACATTTAAAATATTTTCCTAATAAGCATAAACTATATCATTTTTCTAAATTGGACTATTCATTTAAATAATTTTATATATTTAACGAACAGAAAACACTAGTTGGAAAACTTTTATGTTAATAAGTTCATGCTAGTCATCTGTTTTTGTTTCAATTTTTGAAATTGTCAGAACGGTTTATAAATCAAGCATTAGCCTTGGGCTTTTCCTGGAATTAATGAAGCGATTAAATCACATTTGATTAGAACCTTCAGCATTACGACAAAGCGCAGAGTCTGGAATTTAACTGTGCAGTCATATTTACCGATATCTATATGACAAAACTGGAAAAAAAGCACACAAGGCTGAACTTTTTGCATGTGCCTGTCCTGTAGCAAATCACAAATCGAAGACAGTCAATTAATTCCATAATACTCGCTTTTCCTCATAGATGATCAAGGAATAGCTCAATCAGACCATGGCTATATGGTATTTCATTATATGCAGTGCAGTATATTACGTACAGTACAGTAGAGGTTTTGGCAGAGTTAAGTTCTTGCCAATCCACTCCCACGTACGAATTAAGAGAATGATTTTCTGCAAAGACATAAAACGCGCAGGTTTTTAAAACATCGTTGGTAACCAAGCTGCAGCTACAGCAAATAAAACGAATGGGAGCCATATATAGCATCACAAAGATTTAAATAACAAGGAGCCATGGGCTGCTAAATAAATTATCAAAAACATGTTGAAGGAAGGGAAAGCTTCGAGACAGGACAAGTCGGCTTCACATAAGTTAAACGCAAATTCAAACATCCCAGTGAATAAACCCATGTTTTTAATATTTTCATCGTTATCGATAGGTGTGAACATATACGATGTACTGTTTCAATGTTTCAAGAATTCCTGATTTTGGCGGCGTCAATGATCTGTGCATATGTGAAAGCGCGTTAAGGAAAACAGCGCACAGAGTTATTTGAAGTAGCAAAAAGTATATAATAAAAGAGTACACACTTTATGCAGCTTCATTAATACAACACTTCTTGTATAATGAAACCTGAAAAAATTGCGCGTTGGCTGTCACGTGAACAACTAAAGTAGTAAAAACAACTTAAGTAATTTTTCTTTTTTAAAACAGGAAAAGGCGACAGTCAGCTAGACAACAATAGAAATAAAAGCCCATTAAACCTAAAAACAGATCCGGATATTACTAACATACTGCCGGTTCATGACACCGACGTTCAGAAAAATAATATTTTTCTTTCACTTCCGGATTTGAAAGGCATATAAGCGTCGTCCACTTACTTCTAGCAGGCCTAAGAGACCCTTCAAGCTGACCAAGGAATCATGATATTTGAGCATCTGCAGCGCATGGATGCAAAACCGCATCACTGGGCAGGCCTAACAAAGGACTTTTCGAACCCCTGACGATATGCCACTATCCGTTGGTATAGCGAACTAGCAGTATAATAGTAAACCGGTACCATCGGGGTCTATTTTTATGTATAAATAAGCCTATGGATAGTGGCATATCGGCAGGTGTCGAACAAGCCTATATTCGACCCTGCCTAATGATGCAGTGTTCATCCATGCACTGCAGGTGCTCAAATACCACAGATTCACGGCCTGCTTAAATGGTCCTCTAGGCTGCTAAAAGCAACGGTTCCGTGCCTATACACCGTTTAAATCCGGTAGTGAAAAAATATCAAAATACAATTATGCACTTGTTTTCTATTTAATCTAGAAATATTTAATTAGATGGGCTTTATGAGCAACAGGAATTATATGTGGGATGCAGCTGTTTAAGCAGCACCTTCCAAACAACTCATCTGCAGCTCTTCAATGCAATTTATATAACAGACTGTAATAATGCGACAAACTGTGAATAGCAAAAATCCGATTTAGTATCAGCATATAAATCCTGTCGACAGTACACAAAGACACAACAAGAATGAGTAATCTAAGGGGGCGACGAGTTTTGAGTTGTTTCGCCATGGCATTTTCAACGCTGTGATGCATTAGTAAGCAAAGACCTACACTAAGCAGCGATAATACCTGTTATCTGAAGGTAACGAAATGCGTACATTTAACCCTAATGTAATACTTCATGGTTGCAACCACTGATCAAAAGCGAGCTTAGCTTAAGTTCACTTTTTTGTATTTTATCTTATGATGATGATAAGGACAACATTAATTAGGGTGCATTAACGCTAATCAGAGAGAGCATGTTGAACAATCAGAGCAGCATCTTTAGGTTTGATATTTGGTTCAACCACAGCAGAAGATCATTTTTTTAACCTGCCAGCGGAAGGGCAGTCTACCTGTTACCGCCACTTGGCTGTTTGCACAAAATCTCATCGATCACTGATTTCTTATCTATGAGAATTAAGAGTCCTTCAATGAAATCTTCCGACCTCAAAAACTCAATTTGACATCCCTTAACATTCAATTAAATTTCAAAATCAGGGTAGCTATGAGAAGCTTGCAAATGCGCTTGAAATTCTGCCGTACGTGTTTGGCTCTTACCCTGAATACGCTGAGCCCGTTTTCTTCGAAATTATTGAAAGAACCGTGGAACTGAATTCCTGAATTCGAAAAACAGGATCAAACTCTAAATAGGTGGAATAAAGAATGATGGAATAACGATTTTAGACTGTCAGAATATTTGTCTGCTAATGGTTTGTCACAGTTGTCTGTAGTAACGCAGTGCAAGCTTATCCGCGATTTGCTAAAGATAGCCATTACAGAAGTAAAGTGACTCTTTGATTGGTATGTACAACTGACGGCATAAATATATTTAACTCTCAATTAGAATTATTAATTGTGCAAAACAAAAATTAGAATTACTTTCTACAAATCATTTTCTCGCAGTTGTACTTTGTAGCAAGCTGACGCAAACTTGGCT